CCTGTTTGGGTCGTAACTTATCATCCCTTTCCAACACACCATAACAGCCCCCAAGAGGAACTACATAGGAGCCCATGGCTAAGCCCTAGATGCTAAACCCTAAACCCTAAACCTTAAACCCTGAATCCTAAACCCTGACTCTGAATCCTAAACTCTAAACCCTAAATCCTAAATTCTAAACTCTAAAACCTAAGTCCTAAATCCTAAACACTAAATCCTAAATCCTGAGCTCTGAATCCTAAACTCTACACCCTAAACCCTTAACAACAAATCCTAAATCCTGAACCCGAAGCCCTATAAACCCTGAATCCTAAACCCTAAGCCGTACACCCCCAAATCCCAAACCCTAAACCCTAGACCCTGGGTACGCCCTACACTTGACATCCCTCGTCAGAGATTCCCTGCAGCGCATTCAGGAGCAGATGGCAAATCATGGTCGGCCTCTTCAAGAAGCGTCCTGAAGGGGACCAAAGCAGGGGCATACAGGGTTTAAAAGGCGTATGTATGTATGTATGTATGTATGTATTTATGTATGTATGTATGTAGGTATGTATGTATGTATGTATGTATGTGTGTATATATATATACATTGATGTGTATATATATATATGTATTTAGGATTTAGGGTTGAGGGTTTAGGTATTTACACATATCTATATAGATACATATGTACGCGGGTCTACAGAACCTAGGGTTAAAGCTTGGGGTTAAAATATATGGGGATTAATGGAAAATCAAATGAAACAGAACATGGAACTTCAAATGGGGACTGGGATTTTGCAAGGAGGTTGTAGGGGCTTTGGGTTAGGGGTAGCGCAGGGTCTTCGTGGTTGGAACAAGTTAGATTACATCCGTCGTGTGAACTTCTACACTCAAAAAGAGAGTAGGATCATCCCCTATGTTGGGAACGACCAAACCCAATGAAGGCTACTATTTCATATAGGGCTATCAGGCGAACAGACAGGTATGCGAAGGAATATGTAGGGCTCTAGACAAGATATTTTAGAGGATGATCCCTGAAGCCCTAGAGCATTGGGGAGATCCAAATAGTCTGCAAATTTCAGTTCCTGCGTAGATTATGTCTGTACCACGCCACACCGTGGGGCATGAACACTATAGCAGCGTGCCCAAAACTGCATGCATAGCATCGTCAAGCAGACCAGAGAACTCTTCCACAGCTGCATCAACAATCTGCTCCGCATCTCACCCATGAACCCTCAACCCCTACCCCCCCCAAACCCCTGAACCCCTGTAACCACACTCAATGCCCACATTGGGGTATGCTTTATCTTATAAGGCCCGGTTAGGGGGTATAAACAGGGATTCGAGCCCCGCCGGAAGTGGTTACTAACTCACAAACCCCTAAACCCTAAATCCAATAAGCCTGCAAGTAGGGGGCTTTGGGAAGGACCGTGCATGGAAACCCTTGTAGCTTATGGAGGGTAATCTTGGCACCACGCAGTCCAAAAAACGGTAACAAAAGGACAAGGGAATGGTATAGAAGGTAATGGAACTACGGGTCCATTGTAGGGGTCTCCCCCAACAACCCCCTTGATACTTCCTATGCTGGCCTACCAACAGAACCATGCAACAAACCCCAAGCCCTAAACCCTAAACCTAAACCCCAAACCCTAAACCCAAAACTCGCCTGACCAGGCATTGTGGGCATTGGGCAGCGTGTGAGGCGAGCGTAGTTCCAACTACCCTGGGCTTTGCACCATTCACATAATTCTGGGACTTCCGCAAAATTTCTCAACCCTAAACCCTAAATCAACCGGCCATGTCTGAGGATGTAGGGTCGCAGGTCTGAATTTCCGTGTCGTACGTTGCCCGATATTCTTGGGAGCTGTGGAGGCTCCAGGTTGGTCTTGGGTTTTGGGGTTTGGGGTTTAGGGTTTAGGGCTGAGGGTTTAGGGTTTAAGGTTTAGGGTTAAGGGTTTAGGGTTTAAGGTTTAGGGTTGAGGGCTTAGCATTCAGGGCTTAGGTCTTCGAATTGAAAGCTACCCTCCCCCCCAAAAAAAGTTGATACCGTCCTGCTGTTCATCTGACGTAGTTTCTATGGCCCTAGTTAGGCTTCTTTGCTATTATTGGGGGGAACCCTAAACCCTAAACAGGGCAACTACCAGGCCATGTCAGTCAACTCCAAAACAGTCCCTGAACCCTCACTTTGAGTTTTGGGCTCTTGAAAGTCTTTTGTGAACTGGTAGTTTCCCTAAACGGGGGGACTGCAATATCAGGGTAATTTTCAAGAATTTCAACTCCCAATGTAAAGCCTTTTTGGTACTCTTCCTTGTATAAACAACCATTTATGGTAAGGTCGGGTGAGGTCCCTTTAAATTTCCCGGCAATATAGACCCCAATACACTATAGTTGATATCATGAAGACACCCAAAAAATACACCTAATTTTGGGAAACCACCATTTGAGCGGTTTTGCTGAAAGCTGCTTTTGTTGTCTTTTGCGCACATTTTGGGACTTCCGGGCTGAGCGTAGGTGAGTATTGGATTATTGAACTCGGGTTTAGGGTTTAGGGTTTAGGGTTAGGGTTTAGGGTTCAGGGTTCAGGGTTTATGGTTAGGGCTTAGGGTTTAGGGATCACTGTGAGGCCTGGACATCGACCATGCAGGTAACCCCAAACGCAACGCCTGGAACCTAAGCCCAACACCCTGAACCCTAGACCCCAAACCCTGAACTGTGGGCGCGAATGCTGGACTCGCTGGGCCCTTAGGGCAAAAGCATTTCAATGCTCGCGGTCCCCTCAGCAAATGGGACAAATAACCCAATACCATCCAGCTAGGTTTTAGGGTCTAGGGTTTTCTATTTCGGGGTTTGGGGTTTCATTCCATTTGAAGCCCGCCATCGCTGGTTCTTACTTACATAACCGTCATGCGTTCTGTACCTGAACAGCAAGAAATGGAAACAAGAAAAACCGCATTTGTTTTGGGTCAATCCCCCACCCAGTAGTGGGTACCACAACGGACTATTGTAGGTATATTAAGGCCCTATTAACTTCATATTAAGGAGCCATTACTAAAGGGGGGGATTGACCTAATATTTTCTTCAATCGTGGCAGCTTGTTAGATGGAAGCTGCAAGGGGAGCAACAGTCTGCTCGGGCAGCGCACCAGAAAAAAAAGAAGATACGAATTATTTACTTCGAGCATCCCCANNGCACTGCAGGGATACTTTGCGTTTGGGCACATCCGTTAAGCATTGCAGGGATACTCATTGGTTGGGCACTGCAGGGATACTTTGCGGTTGGGCACATCCGTTAAGCATTGCAGGGATACTCATTAATGGGGCTCTGCAGGGATACTTGGTGGTTGGTCACTAAAGTCAGCTTCCAGTCGGGCGAGGACAACATCTACTTTTTAATCTAACAGCCCCACTGCGAGGGTGGGGAACAACATAACAGAAGCAATGAGGTCTAAGTCCATCCCTTAGCCTCAGTGGTGAGAAACTATGCAGTGGTTCTTCAGCGCCCTGAGTAGTTAATGTTGGTGGCAATGCATGACCACTGTATGCCATGCCTTTTAGAGGTTCATTTTCTGGATGATTCAGGTTTCTAGATCGGAGAGTCAATGCCATGCCTTAGCTTGCGAAACTGCGCGCATGCACCTGACTTTCCCCAAGAATCTCATACCCTCCACTGGCCCTCCACGCATACTGAACTATACCTCCCCTGAAAAACGATGAACCTTGCAACATCCTATTCAAAAGCCTGTCCTCTATGAGGAGCCCTAGTTGTTGTTCCATGTTTGTCTGGGGGAGGGTCCAAAGGCCAACCTTACCGCGCTTGGGCCGTTTTCTCTGCACACAACCTGGAAAATGAGAAAATGCGTACCCCACAAAATCGACATCCACAAGGGACACACCTCTTGGCAAGGCTTTTCTTCAACAGAACAAACAATCAACATGAGAGGAGCTTGCAGTGCTGCGACGTGACAATGCTAGATCTAGTAACGAGAGCCGTGACAGTCGTCACAAGCATCGTGGTATGTAATGGAACCGCTATTTACTGCCAGTGGCCCGCCTATTCAGACCCAACACAGCACTAACCCTGGTGAACGTGCAAAGCTGGCTCGCAACCTTCCGCCCCGAAACGCAAATCTATGCTTCTTAAGCGCAAAGCCGTCTGATTCCCGCAGGCATAAATAAATCCGTGATTCGCACGCCAAGCCTAGTGGCAGGGAGCTACATCCCACTGCGAACCGGCTGTGTGCACCCACCTGGAGACTTTAGGTGTACTCCTGGGCCCCTAGGATAGGACACCTTCCACACTCCAATACGGAATGCTGCCCAGGATTTCATATTTTGAAAAATCCTGCTGCAAATCCCACCGAAACAATTTTGAATGCGTGGGGGCACGAGGGTGTGCCACAGAAGAGGGGAAAGGATGGAATTGGGGTTCGTGATTCGTGGATCTAGGGTTTGGAGGGTAGCTCTGGGCTGTCTGTTCAGATCAACCTGTGCAGCTGGATCTCGTCTTGGAAAATTTCGCACAACCCCAAATACCCGTAAGAATGTTCCGGCGCAACTGTTACAATCCTGCATTCAACGACGGATTCACTTTGTAACCCTATCAATTGAAAGGATGTATCGGTTCCCCGTAAGGCTCAGGGCATGTTGGCTTGGGCGCCAAGGTTGTGGTGCGGGCTGCTCTTCAGTGTTCCCAAGCTCAGGATTGCAAGTGCTACTCCGTCAAAGCTGGCATGAACCTGACAAGCCGGACTGTTGCTCTGATCAAAGTTGGCTTGCAGGGGGTTCCATGTTAGCTTGGAGAGGCTTTTGATTTCATGCTGTCAAACCTAGCACTGTCAGCATTCCCTTTCTTCACCTGTGCCATACTCAGATACCCAAATCCAAGAGGAGAACCCCACTTGTCCGGCCAATGTGCTCATGCTCTAACGCCTGATGGTGAATCGGCATTTCTCCCTCCCCTGCGCTCCTCAGTATATTTGCTTGAGGCCTGAAGCGTACACCAAAGAATCCAGCCCCTGCCTCGGGCCCAAAGATCTCCACCAGCAAATCCGAGCAACCGTTGACGACCTGCATCCGTTGACAGCGCAATGAAGTAAAAGCTATCTGGTGCATGGAGCCATTCCTGCCTCCAAGCACGGTAATGAATGTGGCTTTCTTGGGGTGGGGCAATGACCAAATCTGATGAGTGATGTCTTGAATGACCTGCGCTTTAATTCAATAGCAGCCCTTACTTCCACGACCCTTGCAGTTGATCAAAACACGCTTGCTAAAGGTATGAGGAACACTCCAACTGGTACTAGCAGCATGGACTGAGCTACATATCAGTATGGACCCTCCCTCCTCATGAGCCCCAAGGGTCCAAATACCAAACTACTAGATAAATTGGGCCCAAGATACCAGATTATCATGTTTGTTAAGTGCCGGATCCTTGTGGGATGATGAGTTTGATGCTGAGTCTGCATGCCTTGCTTGTGAGCTCACAAGGAACTGCTGCCCATCTACAAGCTAAATCGCCCAGTAAGGGGGCCTGTTTGAGCTCAATGCCACTCCCCCCGATGACAATCACCCCAAGTCCATTAGACACACTTTTTTTTGGGTTGAGCCTGCGGATGGTCTGTGAACTCCGCGGTGGAACTGACGAAGCCCTCCGCTCAAGCAGGGAGGTCATGGTTTAGTTTCGGGTTGACTGCCTAGAGGAGGTTCAGTGAAACAAAAAACCTTGGACATTCTCAGAGCCGGTCTTGGAGCTGTTCACTGCTTGTTCACCTTCCACGGAGTTGATGAGGGCCCGTTGCATTTCAGAGCCCCAAAAGCACAAACTCAAGAAACCACACACCAAACTCTAAATCTCTTCCACCCACCTAAATCCCAAGTGATCGGGGCGTAATGAGATGTTAACCCCACAGTGTATACCGCTGTGGGCCGACACCGGACTTGCCATGGTTTTTCCATGTCTACTGCCCGAGCTCCAAGGAGCTCCCACGAAGCCTTTGCTTGATTAAGTCCAGGGATCTAGTCAACCCTCAGTTCTGCAAGCCCCTACCAATCCAGGCTTCTGAACCCTCAGCTTAGCTACCTTCAGATAGGGGATTCTCCGCAAAACTCTGCGGCTCATTTTTGTGTACATTGAGAGGCATATTAGGGGAACTCTGTCAAGGCCGCGACCTGTGCGGGTGGGTTAGTAATTCCGAAGCCCGTCACGTCAGGACATGGTAGCATTCGTGTTTGAGGGAGAATGTATTTTGAACATTCCCGCTATAAGGGGGCCTGGGAGGAATTCCCTGTCCAATTCTCCTGAAGCTGTCCCACTACGGACATTCTAGCACAAATGAACCCTGCTTTCTGAAGCAAAGCCGAATACCCAAGCCCCGAAACGTATCCACAGATAGTTTGTCTGCAAATTCGCACTTGAGGGTCGTTGGTGCCCACTGCCAAAGTTGAACGTTCTGACTGGAACCCCGTAGGTTCAGTGGCCCTGTAGTTTGCGAAAGCATGGGCGGCAGTCTGACAACCCTGAGGAAATCATGTGGCCCAGGATCAAAAGCTTGCTTTTCCGCACGGCCCCCGCCCTCTGGCACATGCCACGTTGTCATGGACTGTTGTTGCATACCCTTGTGGCGAATGCTTTGTCCGAATTCTCTTACAACCCGATGTCACCGAATGGGCACCCCAGCTTGTCACAAATCAAATGCTATTTGATTCACAGCCATACTCATTTCAGTCGCACATGTGCATGAATGCAAATCCGCTGCAAAATGTTGGCCTTATAGACAAGAAATCTATGCGATGAAGCCATCGGTTCTGCTTTGGCGGATTAGATCTTGCACTCATCCCAATAACCTCCCGAATGAACCTAAGTGCCCTCGGGCGAGGCCTAAACTGCATAAGCCACTGCCATTAACCCCGTGCATCCCTTCTGCATGAACTCTTCTGACAAGTATACAGCCCTTGGAAACTCGTTCATCGACAGGCTGCAGACCCTTCTGGCTCTGGTGTAGATTCGCTGAGACAAGATTTCACTTGAACTGATGCCTTCCCGCTCGTTGTGCATTTTAATTTTGAAGAACCCCAACCAGAGCCCTATGTAAACACTGCAGAAGTTTAAACAAAAAAACAGTTTGGCCTCCACCTTCACCACGCGCTTGACCTTTCGTGAGAACAGCTTTGCGAAGTTTTTCTCGAAAGACCTTCAACATCCTGTGTATGTTGAAATAGTTTGGGCGGGTATTCTGTGGTCTCCTTTGGCGAGTCGGCCAATGTCTATGCACATCAGAGAGGTCGGGCACGGGGATTTGAGAGGAGTTGCATGTAATAGCGACATTCCATATATTCAGAAGTATCAGCAGCAAAAGCATGAGAACAGCACCAATAAGCAAACAGGACAACAATTATGAAAGGATAGCAGTCTCTTAAGAACACGAGCGAGGGTGAGAATGGGACTACCAAGTGCGAGCTATAATGAACGACAACATATACAGAAGAATTGCTGCGAATGATGCAATGCTCACCTCCAGTAATTAGTACAAGAGCGCATACACAATCCAAGCCTCAAGCTACCCAACGAAGGGTCGGTCCCGTTGATGCGGTATCAGGCAAGAATGCTGCAGCTTGTAAACCTCCTAAAGAAAAAACAGCTGGGCTGGCCTTCTTCCTTCTCTTCGACACTTCGAGTGATTTTAGCAAGCACTGGCACCATGATCACCCTGCAGCGTTTAGGATCCAGGAATCCAAGGGCTTTAGGGGGTAGTGCCTGGAACCTTTTAGCATCTTGACTATTCATCTCTGTGCCCTCTGACTACATCCAAAACCTCCGCAACAAATGTTAACAACCCACAGCCGGGTGGGCGTTCATCACGTACGTCAGGGAGCAAAACTTGATTAGCCAAATTGGTGGCCTTGGGTCGCGAGCCTGAACCCTAAGCCACAGCTTTGTACAGTATTCTCTGAAAGCCATCGTCATCCTGTCTGATCCACATGAGATCCATATGCGCTTTCCCTCTAGCGAGCTTGAGCTCCAAGATCTGGCCTTGTCCAAGTCTCCGGCACATGCAGCCTTCATCTGACCTGCATCAAAACGTGGGTGTCATGAGAACCTTGAACAGTCACAAAGGCAGAGTAGTGGGAGTGCAAGGGCACTGTTGCTGCATCTCCAAAGTGCATACCGTTTACAAGAAATTCGCTAAAATGGAAGTTTGTTGGTTTGGCGCCTATCACACTGGATTGCTTGCCGGAACTACCAGAAGGCTTCAACCCACTCCACCCAAAACACGTGTGCCCTCTCCTGCAGCATGCTCTGATTTTTATCGCTTGGGAAAGGGCTGGGTAGCATGATGCAACATAAGGACCCACCAAAAACTAGAACACATATCAATATAAGAATATACCAGATTATAGTATACTAATTACTAGAATTACTATTGTATTATTACTACTATTCTTATTATGAGAGGCATTGCTTACTCGAATTCTGCCAGCACTATGGCATTTGCCCGGGCTCGAATACCTGCGTAGTGAGGACCCCAGCCATCTTTCCGTGGATGATTCCATGCTCCGGTCCACCAACACTAAGAATGATAATAATAGTAATAATGGTAATTGCTTGAGGTGGTGACAAGGCAGCAGCAAACTATGGCGGACAGCAAGCTTTTGCTTTACACGCAAAGATAACTCCAAGAAGGCAAGGTAATGTGAGAGCTTTCCTTTTCAGAGCGTGAATTGTACGAAGCCATAATCCTATACAACTACTGCACGATGGCAAGAGATACAACTACTGCACTGCGGCATGCGATACACACATCTAGTGTTGGAGGTACTAACGGCCCACAACTATCCTTTGGAAATCCTCCTGACTAGTCATGGGCTGGGGGGCAAATGCATGTACCTGACTTGCACATGTGCACCAGCACTCCCCCGCTCTGCAATACTAAATTGCAGAGCGTACACACAATAATGACTATATTTTGTCCCGTCAGGACACAAGATACCCTAACAAAACCAACAAATTAACCCAAAGTTGGGATTACTATTACCCTTATAACTCTTCAAAGGGAAGAGTTTTGCTTGCGCAAAGGAGTATTTCTCCATGCTAAGATTGGGGTGGACAAATAAAAACGGTGGACAAAGGGATAAATGCACCAGGCTTTATCACTTCGCAGTGATAGCCGCAACCACAACGACCAACCAACTGGAGTTTGCCTGGAAGACCCAACGCCTGTCTTTCTCCTGAAGTAATAGCACCCCTTTCACTTAGGGTCAATTGAAACCCATCATCCAGGTCGATCACGAGACATCGTATGATCTATGTAGGTCTTTGAACTTGACCTTATTGACCATTTCTACAATTCTACTCCCTCCTGGAAGATTCTGATACGGAATCCTTGCTTGTGGAGGAGGAGCTTGAGTTCCAACATGCACCGTTCCTCATGGGCCACTATAGGCCTTGCACTGAGTTCATCAGTCGGGTTTGATACATTGGTGAGAAGCATCAACCCTTGACTTGTTTGCGTCATTGACAACAGTGCTAGTGTTTTCCAACCCGGTGGGGTCGGGAGCACTAGTTCCGGCAACTGGGTTGCAAGCCACCTCATCCGGAGAATCGGCTTCTAACGAAGGTCTTACTATGTCGGACTAAATGGCCTTAGTCAGACGAGGCTGAAGCTTTGAAGCTGGCCTTGTGCGCTGGACCCTTCACTTGAAGAACCTATCTTATCATGGGCATCTTCAGAGACTGAACCTTCTGGAACTTCCGCCATCCCCACATCTACAACACCTGAAGAGGGAGGTTCAGACGTATCCTTCAGAAGGTTTTACGATAGGGCTTGGCAGAGTCAACTACCGGTGGAACAACCTCAGCCTTCGTGGTTGCGTCTGGTACTGCCAGAAGCTTATGACTCTTCTGGTCGACCGCCTTGACCTTAGGTGTAGGTCTCATTATAGGACGTGACACTGTATTACTCAGTGTCCCTTTCCTTCACCTAACTCACTCCAATACTTCTTTGGGGGAGCCGGTGAAGGTGCCAGAGGAGACTTGGACTTGAACTGGTTTGATAAGGTTGCACCCTCCAAGATCGGCTGGATGGGCCTTTTTGTGCCGGACCTGACAGCCCGTTTTACTGGGCTCGAAGGCAAAGTCTCCTCAACGTCACTTGGGAGGACCTCGACAACCTCCGCCTTTACTGGACTACAGGCTTAGGTTTTTCTCAACTTCATTAGCCCGACCCTTGCTTTCTCCCTTACTCCTAGGAGGAGTAGGAGGTCTGCGGGTTAACTTTGCAACCGCCTTCCACAAAGTTTTCAAGTGACCAGTCCTTCCACCAGCCTTAGCCTTATTCCTAAACTTGGTTTTCTTTTACAGGACTCGACAAGGCTAGGAGGTGAATCCTCTGCACCCTCAACTTCAGCATATTCACCATCGGATACGTCTTCACCTTCCTTGTTAAACCGAGGAGGTGGTGTATCTGGCTCTTTGAGGGCAAATCTACTTCCACTACCACGGATCCATGGAGGTGGAGGAGGTTGTATGGGGCGCTTACGCTGGACGTTACCTCTTGGCCTGGCATACGCCTTGGTATGCTTAGCCTTAACCGCCTTTCTCTCAGCTAAGGTCAGAACTGGATCTTGTGATGGGGCGTAGTGACCTCCCCCATATTTAGCGCAACCCTCCTGACTGTGGTGAGGTGATCCGCAACAGGACAACAATTACCCCGAAGGTCATGCTTGTATCGACAGCGGTTTCCATATTGACACTCACCCTTAACAAAGGCATAGCACTTAGGTTGTCCGCCTTTTAACGTGCGGACTTTGGGGCACCGCCTCGAAGCCCAAGATTAACACGAAGCACACTCCCTTCCTCAACTCCCTGCTCCGCCAGAGACAGGTCATTCCGAAGGATGCGGCCTTCAAACACCAAATAATTAAACATCTTCGTGCCGGCCTACTGAGTGACATCTTCCGGCCGCTTTACGAAGGAGATCTATGACTCCATCTTGGTCTTCCAAATCGAAAGCACAAAGCTCGCTTGTAGGAAGTTTTACCCACACTTGGCGTACCGAGTTTGATCACTCGACTCACCACCTGCCAACCCCCAATGCCCTGACCCAGTTGGATCTTCATCATTCCTTCCACCGGCCCCGGAGGCTTGAAAATACGCTTCGCGAACATCAATGGATACAAGGTCATGACGGCCCCTATGACCTGGAGCTGAATCGCATAAGTTTGCCTTAGATGATTCTAAACCAGTCCCGCCAGGACGGCCAGCACCTTCACTAGCTCCTATGCACGGCGATGGGATTTTAGGCGTCATCGTCGCTTCATCATCAAAAGCATGACTGAGATCTTGTTCTAGACCTTCAGCAACTGAGGCCTTTGCTTTGGCTATCCGTCAGATTGACGGATCTGGCGGCGGGGTATCTAACTCCGCGCCAATGCTTGAGCCTTGAGAACTAGACCCCGCACCAAACCCTAAATGCGGAGTTACTACCCTAAGTCCTGCCAATAAAGAACCTAGGAACCCCGACTGGGTTCAGTAACCACAGGAGCCTGAGACAAATTTTCAGTGTGAGGGGTGTCGAACTCATTTGAGACACCGCCTGTGCTTGGCCCTGCGCTTGGCCCTGAGACTGTGCCCCATACTCCCCTGAACATGCGCACGAAGGACACAGGTTCCAACTGTGTGGCACAGAACTAGCAGCATGGATTGGGCCTACGCAACCTTAAGCACGAGGGATAGAGGGCTTCCGAGAATGCCCGGCGCCAACCTTGCGACTGTAAGGCCCTACGCGAGAAGTATATTCAATGAACGACCCAGGTTCTGATGCAGAATCAGAACCACTGGAAGGCCCCTCGCCTGGGTAGCCCAGAGTACTATCAAAGTGCAGCTGATGCACTGAGCGCTGAGTATGGACCTTACCTGGACATGGAACAAATTGACGCTCTCGACCAGGGAAGGGGATACGACTAGCTCTCGCGCAGGAAAAGATTCCCCAGCCTGAGCTGTCTTGGAACCCTGACGAGTAGATGCAGAAACACGACGACTGCATGAAGGAGCAGTTGACGGAACTGCTTCCTCAGGATGGAGAGGAGCGGCATTTGGAACCCCCGCCGGAGCATCCTCATCAAGAGCTTGACACATAACCTCCAAAAACGTAGGTTTGCTCTGAGCATCTGATCGAGGAGACCCAATAAAGAAACTAGTAGGCTCTTCAACTTGCCTTGGGACAAGCGTAAACCACGTGGCCACGGACAGCTGATGAAAGAACCTTGGCTGAAAAACGGCTGCCTCGTCGGTTGCGCTTGACACACTATCATGCTTAGCACTGTGATGAGGAGCATCTGATAACCCCCTGGTCCCGCGAGAACCAGAAGAGCGGTCGAGCTGGTCGCTTGGGATAGAGATTTGTAGGGGACTAGGAACTCGCAACCCGTGTACAAACTCAAACAAGGCGTGCGGAGTCGCCACAATTGCGCAAATGTCATTCCATGACTTTTCCAGTAGGCTGCTGACGATAGTCGGTTTGTACAAACCCTTGTCTATCTAACGCAGAAGAGGCTCCTTGACCCGAGTAGCACGTTGTTCAAATGGTGAACTTGACAAGCGGCTATGGCCAAAGATCGGAAATGACGGAGGTGACCGAGGCCTTTTTAAAGGGCCAAGGGTCTCACACTGCGGGGAAAGTTCGGCTCCGACAAGTCAGCCCACGAGGCACGCGGAGCAGTACTAGATTCACCCGGTTCCTGAGAAGGCGTTATCACCTTCGGAAGCTGTGAAAAGGCAAACACTTGAGTCTCTGCTTAAGGTTCGCTTGTAGAAGGTGAGGGATTAGGTTTAGCGGCGGCCTTAACACTGGCCAACGACGCGCTGGGCACGCAGGCTCCTGGAGGATTAACATCTGGAACCTTACGATAGGGGACATTCTCAGGCTGCGGGTGGCCACACTCGCGCGCAAACAGAAATACCTCAACTGGACTTTGTCCATCTGAGCTGCCACGGACTGGTTGTGAAGGCGTGGGGTCAGACTGCACCTTCTTCTTGGTCGGACTTCCCGTCCCGACCTCCTCCTGAACCA